AACAATTGCTCATTCCATGCTACTTCCTCGGCCCATGCCGGATCAATCATTGGCTTCAATCAAGCCGAGTTGCTCAAGCAATGGTCCCTGCCACATCACATCCTTAGCCTATGTCAAGCCGACTCCTAGTCCCGCCCAGCTGACGTGTCGCACCACCCTGACGACTACCCCATGGCAGCACCACCCAAAAAGAAGACAAGAAGAATTAAGTTTTTATTAGTGCGGCACAGAGAAGACGAAGAAAGCAACGAAAGACGATCATTTGCAAGGGCAAGATGTAGAAGATTGCTAGAGGATGGGGAACAAATATCCTCTAAGCTTTCTCTCTCTCTCTTGTAGGGTAGAATAAATCACTCTCCAAAGTTGATTTAATAACCCACTTAAGGTGGACTTAAATAGGCTTTGAGAGAAATTTATTTCCCTTTCCTAGAATGATCTAATTTCATATTAAAGAGAGAATCTACATCAAAACAGGAAGCAGTCCTAAATTTCCTAGAGCAAGAAGATCTCTACACCTGCTGCCCTTTCCTACGAGCAGCCCAGCAGGTGTGGGGGCATTTGTGGAGCCAAAATAATCACAAGGCAACACGTGGATTTTTGGGTGAAGATGACAAATTTACCCTCGAGGCATACCGGGTTTCCTACACGCCAGCGGTGGAGAATCATCCATCAACCAAATCAGGAGTACCCAAAATAGGTAACAAGTTCAAATTTGTCTCATCCATCCTCATTCCATAACCTTCAAAACCCTACATACAAATTAGATTAATTAGGCTAATTAATGGATTAATTCCTAATTAATCCATAAATCACCAAATTAATCACCATTTTCACACAAAATCCTTTAAGGGCTGGCCACCTCATTCCCTATATATAAGACCCTATTTCTTCTAAAAAGCTAAGTCCACACTCTTGCAAAACTCCCAAAAACTCTCCAAATACTTTTCTCTCTAAATTCTAACTTTGGCATTGGAGGTTCTTTGGCCAAAGCCCCCCCCCCCCAAATTCATCGTGGGGGCGTGAGGCTCTTGGCCTTGACCTAAGGTGTTAATTGTTTTGTAGGTGCAATTTTGTCCAAGAAGAAGAAGACGGAAATTTGCATCCACAACAAGTAGAGGACGAGGTTACGAATTCATATTTGTTCGATTTCTTAATCTTCATTTGAAGGTTAGTCGTACAAAAAGTTATTTCAATCGGAGGTAATTTAGTCATTCAAATATGTAAAACAAATCGATGGTCTAGGTACTAAGTAACATATTCATAATAAACCGTCTATATATTTGATATGTTTAGATTATTAATGATCTCTCATTCGAATGAGTTTTTATAAGAGTGGTATTCAAATGAAGATCAATAAATTGAACAGTTCTAATCATTGATTTTAGTAAGTCATCATATGTTATTAATAACTTTAAAAAAAAATATGTGCATCCACACATGATAGGTACGCAAGTATTATTCATGAGAAATTTTCTTATTTCTGCGTGAGCACTTCACAAAAATCTGTATCCAATCATTGATACATTGTGAAATTAAAACCGCATTGGATATAGTCGCTCATTCGCACTGACGATTGTTCCTAACAAATTCATTGCATCCATCCTCCTTTTTTCTGTTATTTTGGCAGTTGGAAAAAGCAAAGTAAGAAGAGAAAACTGGGAAACTTAGTTCAAGTTTGACATTGATGAAATCAAGTGGCATGAAATGCTAAGGATATTCTTTCAAAAATGGGTTTTCATAAACTTTCTCTGACCTTATATTTTAAAAAAATGAGGGTATAGTATTGGCATGAAAATTAACGTTAAACTGTGAATTTTTTTTTACTATGAAACAGTATTCATAGTATTTCCCTATAAATAGTGCCCATTTTACGTGTTATAAGTTCCAACTTCCCGTTGCAAGTAAATAGGTCACTTCTTAAACCATCTTTTTCTTTTTAAAACAAATGATATATTATCTACACTGAAGAAGTAGGGGAGTGGGCTAAGTCTCACAATGGCTTAGCAATAATGTTATAAATTTGTCTTCGCAAGAATCGAATCTAAAATATCTTAGATACAACTAAAAAGAAAATATTATTAGACCGTAGTACTAAATGATATCTTTTTTTTTTATTTAAGATACAGAGTCGACAAACTTTTTTTGGCACTTACAAAATGAAATTTATTAGGCGGTGTGAATGAGTTTCTGTACTTCATTTTCTAATTTATTATTATTATATATATATTATTAATTGTATATTAAAACTAATTTATTATTATTATATATATTATTAATTGTATATTATATTTGAGAGATATATATTTATTTTTGAAATTTGAGAGAGATGCATATATAAGTGGGATGTGGTGGCTGACCTAAGTGGCCAACTTGGTAGATTTCCAGTCGGCAGCAGAAAAACTAATGGAAAAAGTTGGAAACTACCTACCGAAACCAATAAGAATGTGAAAAATTATTAATACAATAAAAAATAAATAAGTTTATTTGAGGTTGTCGCTGCTGCTTATCAGTTTGTGTCATGGAAAGGAATAATAATCATGTTTCTGATTATTTTAAGAATCAGATAATTACTCTATTATTCTTTAAATCACCAACTAATTAACAGTATAGAATTAAGCCAAAGAGAGAGTTGTCGACAATCATGGAAAGATTTACGTCTATAATTTCCCCATATAGCCACTTGTTACAAGAGCAGTTAGGGCAACTGAGCTGTTTGATTTCTTTATAGTACAAATATATTAGGTGTTCTTCGAGAATAAAATGCTCAACAACTGATTCGACGTCGACCGAATCGAACCCCAGAAGCTTAATGCCGTAAACCTAGGCTGATTAGGGTTTCTATCTCCGGGGCCAGAGCCATAAGGGTCGGAGTGGTCCGGGATTCATCCTGACTACAGTGTAAGAAAAATCCCGGCGACTACCTGCAGTTGCCTTGAGACGTGAAGAAGAAGATAGATTGTTACTTGTGAAGAAGCTGAGTGGAACAATGTCATCGTCTTCTCATTCTAACAATTTTGTTATTGTAGTTTAGCGAAACAATGAGTTTGTAGATGAGAATTTTAAAATATACTTTAAATGATTTCTAAAGCTACCTAATCAGCTATTATTGGAGACCTCCTCTTTTCCCTCCTATCAAACGATGCAAGCCACAACTTTTTTGTATGTTCTTTCTATATGTATATATATATATATATATATATATATATATATATATATATTTGTTTTTTAATTTTTAGTGGTTACCTGCACTCTACCTCCCACTAAGTTGTATTGCACAATAATTCTCTTTATTAAATTTAATTAAAAAATTACTTCAATTGCTTATGTTATAAGTTTAATTTTTTTCTAGGCATGTAAAAGGTTATCCCTCACATAAAATTCTGTCTCTCTCCAAGCCTACATGATAGAATATTAGAATTCCATGATATTGTTTTGGCACACCACACAAGTAACATTGGATGGATAGGTCTTTTTTTTTTGTTTTTTTTTTTTTTTTTTTTTGTTTTTTGTTTTTTTTTTTGTTTTTTGTTTTTTGTTTTTTTTTTGCATTGGATGGATAGTTCAACATTAAACTTTAAACTAGAAACATTTCATACATTACTTGGTTGCTTTAAAGTGGCTACTAGATCGGACAATTCGTAGATATGTTGAAAATAGCGGTGAATAAATTTTTTATTTTGATGAGATTATAAAGGATTAGACACGACTAGACATAAATAAACTTATGTGGAACTACTAATGCAGGTGCAGTCAAGAAACACAAACTATAAAAATATAAAATAGTTCTGTAATTAAAACAATTTCAGTAAAACCATTATCTCCTCTTTTTTTGTTGAAATAATTAAAAATTACCTCTTGAAAATTACAATAATATTTTTTTTTTCAACAAATGTCATTATCTACACTAAGGGAAAGAGAGTGAGCTTAGCCTCACAATGACCTAGCAATAATGTGATGCAAATTCATCTTTGGCGAGAATCAAATCTAGGACCTCTCACTTACAAGTGAATAGAAATATCATTAGACCATAATACTAAGTAGATACTATAATATTTGTTAGACACGCTTTCTCCAAGCATTTGCTAACTAATTTGTCATCAAAATCTAGCATCAACAAAGTTTTTTTTTTTTTTTTTTTTTTGAGATCATAATTTTCTCCCATGAATGATATGAAGACTACATTTTTCTTTAACTACGAGTGGTATCATACGATAGGACATTGGATTTGATTGTCACAGTATTTTAAGACGGTTAGAGCAATGTACATGTCTCCAAAAGCCCGAGTTCAAAGGAATTGTGCATTGTCAGAGGAGTTGAAAGGTTGTCAAAAAGGAACAAGTGGAGACAGATAAATTTTGGTAAGAGCTTATAGTACAAATGGATTTCAATAGGGGCTCCAAGTGTTATAGTACAAATGGCAAAAGTCCTTAGCGGTGACTGATTTAGTTAAGAAAATCATGGGACAAACTTCATAGTTTTCGCAGACTGTTATGCTCGCTTATCGAACAAGCAATTTGATCTCAGAAATGATCATGATAGACAGAAATCACATGAGAAACCGAGGGAAACAGAGAATCAGAGAGGTTGCCGAGCCATAAGAGAAGAGCTGGCGAGGGGTACACAACAAGGATCGGGAAAAAACAAAGATGATAAGTCAAGTGGCGCGGATTACACAAAAGAACTGGCAAACAGAGCAATAAAAACTAGGTTGCAAACAGGATTATTGTGTGCAAATGTCAACAAGTAGTATATATCTTCTAACAGTTGATAGGATGCCCGAAGTTACAGCAGCCAAAGGTTCACTGAGCTCTTACCAAAGCGGCAGGGACGAAGTTTGGATCTAATTGGCAAACCGAAGTTTTAACTGATGATTGCTGGTACGGTTTTTTTACTAGGAGATGGGGCAGCTCTAAAGAGGTTCATCTAATCGGAAGTACGATGTTGTGATCAACTGTGCAACAGGCATTCCTTGGTCAAATTGTGAGCCTAACTCAAATGCAAAAGGGAATAATTGCATCATCTCCGATTACTCACAAAATGGCCTTTTAAAGTATAAGCAGGATGCAAAAGCTTAAACATCAAACAATCGTATCGAATTCATACTAAACTAAATGTGACATGAAAGAAAGTTGGAACATTTGAATTGTGTACGAGGAAGAACGAAAACCTGGTCATACACTTTCGATTGTGTAAACCACCAGTTGTATTGCATCCTTCCTCTCCCCATGTATTCCTATACACCCCAATGCTTAGTTGTTCAATTTCACCTAGTTGTATCAAATTTCCATATCAAAAAAACCCATCTTCCTCATCTGAATCCTCATTCTCACTATCAAGCAGATACTCCTCACTATCCGAATCGTCTTCCACCCAGTCTCCTCCTTCCAGTTCCCCTTCCGAAAAGGCGGAAATCCTCAGTCCACCAGACTGAGAACTTCTCACTAGTTCATCAACCACATTGTCTAATCCACTCCCACCATCAAAACCAAAATCCGAAAACAGCCCATCACCATTTTCCTCCTCATCCCCATCAAAGAACTCGCTTATCCTCCTTCTGGGAACCAAATCTTTCTCCGAAACCTCCCCATTTTCGACTCCAATCCAGGGCACCCAAACATCAGCATGCCTTCCCAAAGCTCTATCCATGTCCCCAACCACTACAGTCCCCAACTTGGCCTCCCTAGCCTTCCTCAACATATCCGAAAAGTCCGAATCGTCGGAAACCAAGAACAACCAATCAATCCCTCGGCTCATAGAATGCTGCATTTGCCTCTTCAACGCCCAATCCGCCGCCTGCGGCTTATCCTCCACCGTCTTCACAAAAACCCCCGCCCTCCGCAACTCCGACGCCAATCCGTACCCAACCTTCGGCTTCATCAAAGACCTCGCCGCCTCATTGTACTTGTGATTCCCAGAAACAAACCTCTCCTTAAAACGCTGGCGTTTCTTCCCTTTCAAAGACCCCATCCGATTCAGCTTCTTCTGCCTCTCCCTCTCGTGCAGCTGCTTGAAATGCTTCTTCAAATCCAAATTCGTCTTGCACTTCCGCCCGCAGACGCCGCAGACGTACGGATCCGGCGGCGTAACCACACCCTTGCGCTCCAAAATGTCCAGTTGCTTCCGCTCGCGGCGCTCCTCGATGACCCACTGCGGCAAATGAACAAACGCGTGGCGGTTGGCGTATGCCGACGCGTCGACCACCTCGCCGAAGCGCTGGGCGAGCTGTTTCAGCGCCATGGCCGCCTGGTACGGCGGCCCGCGTGGGGGTTTGTTGTCCAGGTCCCACAAGATCACAACCTTCTTCTGCTTCGGCGTGTATATTCCCTGCTTGTTTTGCACCATGTCAATTTCGGAGCTTGCGGATGACTTGATGACACCGCGGCGGCAATTCCTGGTGGTTGAGGTTGCGGCGGTGGTGATGATGGGTTGGGGTAGAAGCGCGCGTTTTGAATGAAAGAAAGGGGAGCGGGATGAGTGGAGGGAAATTGAAGGGAAGGGTTTATAGGGGAAGGTGTGGATTGGGTTGCAGAGGAGCTTCATGGTTCATTTATGGCGGCAACTCTGTCACTGTGCGAGTGAGTGAGTGCCTTCTTCTGCGTTGCTAGGATTGTTTGAATGCCTTCTGTGAATTTGTCGTGGATAGAATGCTTCAGAAAGTTGAGATGATCCGTTTGGGATTTTATGGGTATATCCGAATTTGATCCAATGAGATTCCAACTTAGCATGAAAAATGAAGCCTACATAGATAACAATGGGCTTTCCTTCAGTTTTCTGGGCCTCTTTCTTATTTTCTTATATTTACACATGTCGTATTTTATTTGTATTTCTTGACATATTTAAAGGTTGTAACAACTGAGTTTACGTGGTCTTGAACTATATATGTAACTATTAACTGCTAGAATTGGGCTAACTAACTAGAGAAAATGAAAACAAAAATGGAAAGAGATCATCTTCAGATCTTTCCCTCAAAGACCTAGGGATTAAGTGATCTGAGCTTTTAAAATTTGATCCAACAGTAAAAAATTATTATAACTTTTAAAAGTTTTTACTAACTTCTCTGTTTTTAGCAGTTGAATCAAATTTTAAAGGTCCGGATCACTTAATTCTTGGCCTTGGGAGGGAAAGATACGGAAAGGATCTCTTTCCAACAAAAATGGCAGCGTAGGCTCAAACCAGCCTAATCAAACCAAACCGCCTAACAATGGTTTGATTTGATTTGATTTCACTATTGGTTTTACTTACAGCAAACTAAATCAATATGGTATATAGTAATTGATTTAGCTGTAATTTAAATGTGAAATTGATCCAAGCCAAACTGTGCTTGCGTACCCTACTTCATTTATTTGTAAACATCAAGATGCGTACTGATTACATAGTGATGCAGTTTTGACGTTTAGGACTCGAAGTATGATTCTTTCCTTTCTCTTTTTTCCTCTCCTTTCCTCTCCTCCTATTTGAACGATCACAGTTAAACCACATCAACATTTGATGGTCTCTTGTTTTCCCAAGTCCTAGATTTATCCTCCTAAGAAACCCTAACCAATCATAGCTTGTGGCAACTTTGTCTACGAGAAGAGAGACAAATGAAATGGATGAGCTCTTACTTACATGGTTTTGCTTGGGAACGTCGTGCCATAAAAAAGGCTTTACTATTTGCAGGTCATTATCCTTAATGGTGGCTTTCATTCTTCTCTTTTGCTCTTTTATCATAATGCACTTTCTCTTTTCGTTTTTCAAAACTTCTTTTGCCATTTTCAAGTCCATAAAACAATCTTTTCATTACCCATTCCATTAATTATTTCGTTGGCGTAGTCACATTGACTAGAACATATGTGATCCATACTCTTGAATTAGAATCTCACATCCTCACTTTAAGTACAAGAGAATTGCTAAGGATACTTTCTTAAAAGTAGGACTTCTGTCATCTCATGTTTTTTGCATAATATTTTATAATATTGGCACAAAAATTGACGCTAAACTGTGACTATAAGTCTCACTTTAAGAGAGTCTTCTTACCATTTATCTCAGTACAATATCGCTTATATAAAACATTTCAATTTTTTAAAGACTTTTTAGCTAAAATATTCCTTGAGATTGGTATAACTTTTCACTTTGGTCTCTGAGTTTTAAAATCGATAGAAGTCGTTCCTGAGTTTGTCCACCATAAATGATTTTGGTCATTCCGTAAAAAAATCTCCATTAAATAAGGATAGCATGACAAAAATATTCTCAAAATTTGTCAAATCATTATGACCCATTGTTTATTAAATTGAGGTATTTCTGTTATGTTGGTCCTTATTTAACATAATTTTTCACTGAAAAGAACAAAATAATTGATGGTCGATAAACTGAAGGACGACTTCCATAAATTTCAAATCTCAGAGACCAAAGTAAGGAGTTATGCAAATCTTAGAGACCACTTTGACTAAAAAGCCTTTTTTATATTTATTTTAGGCATGAGAGTTGCCTAACACCACAAAGAATTATTATAAGCATGAGAGTGCCATAACACCAATTCAATATGCATTGGTTAAGTCCTAGAGGACTGTGGATTAATTAGTACTATCCATGCAGTGTGCTTAGCATAAACAAAAGCCAACCATCCTATTAAGGATCCATCAACGGTCAATTTAATCTTTGATTATGTCCTCCTTGATTCATGGCAGTTTCGTCAGAAAGCAAGTTGAGTAAATAACATAATTGAGATGATTAGTCACAAGATGATAACTAATAGTTTATGTCACTAATTTAAAGTATTCTGATGAATGATAAGGAATTAAGTGAACAACTTTGGTGGGTGTTCTGTAGTTGAGTAGCTACCAATCCGGTTTGCAAAAACATACCTGAAATAATGAATAATAAGGCCCCATTAGGGTTATATTTTATGCAGACCATTTGTTTTTTATTTTTGGTTAGTAAAGATAGAGTTCTTTTAATCTTTAAGCAAATAAAAAACTGATTCTTGAACCCCTTCACCCTCATGTCATGCCAAGGTACTGCAGAAGAAAAAAACTGCAAAATTTGATCCAAATTATATCGTAATCGATTAGTTAACATGTTGACTAACCGTATTCTGAAACGCAGAAGAAAAAAATCATTGACTTATCAGATTATCTATCAGGTTTTTTGAAGTTTTAAGGTTTTGCATGTTCTTAACTTTTTACTTTTACACAATTTGATTAGCTTTCTATGCAAATGTGTAACGTTACATATACATCAACAGATAACAGTCACTCACTCGTTCATGGTTTTCTACTTTTGTTGCACCAATTTGATTAGTTGCCTATGAAATGTGTAATTTTACATATGTATCAACGACTGACAGTTACTCACACGCACGTGAACAATTCTCACGTAATAACAAGAATAAGGACATCATTTTGAATTTTCAATTACCCTTTTTGACACGATTATATATAGAATGAGGTAGTCATTAGTGGCGGCTGGATGTACCATGGATATTGAATCCATTCAATGACATTTCCTTAGAAGATTTAGTTGTGTTTTGAATTAGCCAGGGTTATCACTGTGAATATATGGTTGACCACTACTTAAAGAGAGAAAAAAAAGGAGGAGGTCAATATGTATTAAGTACAATTACGGCTCGTTTGAAAGTACTTTTAAAATTATTGAAAGTAAAAATACAAGTGAATTTTGAAAAACACTTTAAGTGCTTTTGAAACCAAAAAACAATTTTATTAAAAGCGTTATCGGTTATTTTAAAAGTATTTTCAAACGAGTCTTTATACAAATAATTGCAACGTATAAAGAAAGAAAAAAGGGATGTCGATATATATTAAATGCAATTATACAAATTAGTGCAATGCATGTTGAATGTTGAATCCACTACCCCATTATGCATGCTGGATCAAAAGACAAGATAGTGGCTCGTAGGAGGTGTCCCCTCATTCTAATAGAGGTTATGGAGTCTTGCCAACCTTTTTCAAAAGCCAAAAATAACCACAATGAGACAAATATGTTATTTTATGTGGACTTTTCTTTCTAATTTTAATTCCACTACAAATAAAGTACCTCATTTGTGAGAGATTTTTTAGTGTGTTCAGAATATGGTTCGGTACACCCAGTATCACATTATAAATGGATAGAAACTTCTAAAAAAAATTTCTTCTCACTTGTATTATGATACTTGGTGTTCCAAGCCATATTTCTGGTACACTGTAAAATCTCTCCTCCTTTGCAATCTTTGATTACCTTTTACATTCTGGTTTAAACCTTTTAAACGTGGCTTAACTTTTGAGTATGGGGATAAGCATATATTGTAGCTATGCTAAGCATAAAGTTAGTAAAATCAAATTAACTACCAACTGCTACAAATTTCTACAGTTTAACTCTTTTCCAACTTCATTTAACAGCCTCAGCCCTTCAGGTACCCAACGCCTCAATGTCCCCTCTCCTCCAAATATACCAGCCAAGAAAATAGTGACGAAAATACTACTAGAATATTAAACCTCCCCCAGCAAACAGTTTTGACCTTTTCGCTTTCTAGAAGGGTATGCCAACGAACACAAACACATATGATACGACCCTAAGCAGCTTTCTATGTCGACAAATTAAACTTATCGTATTACCGGTTATACACAAATACCAACATATTTCAGAAACAGAAACGATAAAGTCATGATTTGAATAATGTCTGACTATTCACGTATGAGATAAACATATATAATTGGTGGAGAAATTTTTCAGTGTGTCGAGAACACGGTCTGGTTGTAATAATATAATCGGTTGGAAATTTGAAAAAAAAAATCTAACCAATTGTATTAGTATTGATACTTTGTGTACTAGTCCTTGTTTCCGGCACACTTCATACTTGGCGATATGATACGCCTAAGGTCCTAAGCATTGGTAGATTTGAGAAAACCTATCATATAACTAGTTGTACATAATTATGAGCATATTTCGAAATTGATAAGTCATAAGTTGAACGATACATAGTTGTTCAAGTATAACTGTTTATCCTCTCACCATTTGTGATTTGATCATTTGAACGATATATAGTTGTTCCGAAATTAATAAATAATAAATAAATAAAAGTCTCTGCCTTTGAAAAAACGTTTTGCCCGTCTCTCTACTCGTACGACAGATGCCATGGCCACATTTTGACCCCATTAATTTTCCTTTCTTTCTTCTCCTCCTTCTCCCTGCCTTTCTTGAACCAAGTCAGTCCACGCCCTCTCCCTTCCGGCTCCTCCGCTTCTTCTTAAAACCTCTCCGCCCTAAAATATAAGAAAATATTTTGCCGAAAACACACAAAATTCTCGTTAGCCCATTTGAGAGAAGATCGAAACACATGTTCGGATTGAAGCATGCCGCGGTGGTTGCAGTCAGCGCAGGAGTTGTTGCGGTGGTTGTTTTGATCGTATTATGGCGATGGAGTTGTTACAAGAAACGTAAACAAAATGCTGGCAGCGGCGGCATGACAACGGCGGCTGCAGCGACGACGGTTGTTAGAACACAGAGCCTGCAGGATGGAATTGCAAGGCTTCATCACCACCAACCAAGCAAGAGCATGTCGACCGGGAACAACTATTACCGCCGGGGGGTTTCTGGAAAGCCGCTGTTCAGCTGGGGTAATCATCCGACGTCCGTCACGGACGCTGTGGAAAACGGGTGGTCGCGATTCGGCTTCACAAATTATCAATCTTCCGGTTCGACAAGGTCGAGACTTTTGGGGATGTGCGTGGCTGGCGATCAACGAGTTAGGGAGGCAGAGCCGGAGATAAGCTGGGAAGTGTGTCAAGGATCAGTCGATTTCATGCAGAAAATTCGACTCAATCCTGGGTTGAAAAAAGTGCTCAATTTAAGCGCTTCTAGTTCTGCTTCTGCTGCCGCCTCTGTGATCAAAACTGCTCTGCCTCTGCCGGGCCCTCCTCTTGGAAACAATTCCTTCCCGCAAGAAGCTTATTTTGAGATCACAATTTTGAGTTCGCACGACGGCGAAAAAAGTCAGTCGATTGTTAAGGAAGGAGAGAAGATTAAATTGATTCAGGAGAGATACGATGAGAATTCGAGTTCGGATTCTTTGGTTCATGTGAGGAGTAGTAGTGAGAGCATTAGCAGAATTGAGGAGTTGAAGATTAGAGTTAAGGATGATATTCATCATGCTAAAAATGAAGCTGCGTTGCTGTCGATTGGACTCTCCGTCGGCGGCGCTCTTTCTCTCAAACTGCCGGGAAGTTATCCGGGAAGCATCGGATTCGGCGCCAATGGCTCTGTCCATCTTGATGGTAATTCTTGAATGTCCCTCGTCTTTGTCATTGATGTCACTGTGTGCTTGCAGTGTGCATTGTCCTATGTTAAAAATCATGAGTGCGCAAATTATTAAGGGTAGCGATTTTCACATTCTCGCTTTAATCGTTACATTTTCAACTGAATATTTTATTAATAATTGTACAGTAAGGCAAGATTACTTTATATTTTACCTAGAAGGACTGATGAACTAATCTAACCATAGAAGAACAAAATAACTTAATATACGTGACCCAACATATTACCTCTTCACGCGCAGCAGGATGTCATGAAATTTGGAAACAAATGTCAGTATGGACCCATTACATGCTGCCATGTACTTGGTTTCGTCTGAGTAGGTTTATAGTTGTTGCTAAAACATAAACATACAAAAAAAAACTTAGTTTCTTACGTATAAGGAGTCATTCTTCACCGTAAAGAAAGTAGAATTTCGATTCGAAGATAAGCCATTTCTTTTAATAAATATCTTTATGTATGTGTTGGACTGGCAGTAAGAAGAAATGACTTCATTACCGTAAGGAACGAAACAATTATGAAAATGAAGAATAGATTATAGAGCATTAGGTGTTTGTTGCAACACTATTCCTTACTTCACCTGCAATTTTGAATAATATTTGGCTACTTAAAAGATGAGTAGGAGTTCTTACTTAAAATTGTTTATTTCAGATTCATAGAAAATCATGTTTATGATTAGAACAATCTATATTATAAATCACTCCATAAAAATCGCGTCTACAAAAAATGAAATAAAACTAAGATCTTTAGTCATCAAACTGTATAAAATAGATGAACGGAATTGGTAAAAGCATTACGGACCGTCTATGTATTTGCCACAATATGTTGACTAAAGAACCTTAGTTTTAATTCTTTTTTTTTTCTTTTTGCAGGGATAATCTTTATAGAGTGATTTATAATATGAACGATTTTAATCATAAGTACAAAACTCTGTGATTCGAACACGGGTGATTTTGAGTAGGAATTCATACTCATCATTAAGTAGCCAAGTATTCTTCCAAATTTTTGCAGTTTACTTCAAATTTTTAAAATATTTTTAGAACATTGCATTCACTTGTGCTTATGTGATTAATTTTAGTAACTTGGGCTTCTTTTTTTTCAGGGATTAAACTTGTGTTTGAATCAGAAAAAGCAGCATGGGGACAAAGAGACAGAGTGATTGGATGCGGGTTTGATCCCAGACAAAAGAAGGTATACTTCACTGAGGAATCAGAGCTTGTGCATGTGGTTCACTGCAAGTCAGAGGAATTCGGCACTCCTCTCTATCCAACCCTAGCAGCAAACACTGACATTACTGTCCTGGTCAACCTTGGTCAAAGTGCCTTCAAGTTTGCCCCGGCCAATGCCCAGAGGACAGCTAACCCTTGCTTTGTGGGCCCTCTTGTGAGATCCTCTGCTGCTGCATTCTATGAAGATAGCATGGAGCTTTTCTCCATGGACAGATCAATTGACTCCCAGTGGCTCAACAGGTGCACAACCAAGGGCAGCCGAAACCCTAGTCACGAACTGGAGTTTGATGAGGAATCTGATGCTGATTTGTTTGAGATTGTCTTGGAGAGTAGTGGAAGATCCCCACGCACGATATCGTAGGAGCTTATTGACAACATATTAGTAATATATCGACACCGATATTTACACAGTATCAACAATGATACAATGTTGATATCATGGTCGATATATAAGGTCACTAACCAGTGCCATAAATATCAGCAAAGATAGATTTTAGAAACAGGGTTCATATCCTTCTAAAGATTTTTTCATTTGTTTACTTTTTGCAGGAGACCATTTGTTCCCCTTTGTATATATTTCAAGCCTTCTTATGTTCAAGTTGTATCTGAGATTTGATATGCCTTGTTTTGATGAAACTGAAGGTCCTTCTATAACAAAAGCCATGTTAATTCATTGGTTATCACTCGCAAATTAATTGTTGGAATTCAGCATCTCCAAACGAGTTAGTTTTTCTCTTAAAAGTGTCATTTGCGAATCCATTTGGCACTTTTATGGCACTTTACAATCTCTTTACTAAACAATACTTTTGAAGAAAATATACTGCGAGACTCAATTTCCTAACATGAAGAAGTATCAGCTGTGACTTTGTAAATTCTTCAGTTAGATAGTTGAGAGTTACTACAACCGCTGGAAATGCAATTTTCCTGCATGACATGGCAAATTTAACTTTGCTACCCAATTCTATCTCCGTTGGACAAGCTCTTAGGATTATTGTCGAGTACACCAAAAACTACTCCTCGTCACTAGATACTTCCCTTTATATGCATCACTACAAGTGACGTGTAAGTGTTAAGAGAGGATAATCTCTGTGGTAGGAGGAAGACTAGGGTTAGATCGCTTGGCCATCATAAGTTACTTGCGATATATGATTTTCTTGACAACACGCTGACAATTATGTAATCAAAGTATTAATAACTTCAATCATGTGACCAACATGACAATAGTCAAGAACATGTTCGTATTCATCGATGCATGTCAATGTTAGATAGTCGGACCAACCAACTAGTAAGCAACCGGATCAATATTTTTCCTCCCTTGTAGGGAAGTGTACTTCTCGTAGTGGAAGCGGAAAAGGACGCTGTGTCTCATCAGTCACTAGAAGGATGCTAATAAGGAAAAGGACTTTGAATGGCCAGTTGGACTTTGGAGTACTACATTACAGACATGCAGTAGTGAACGAGAACGACCGAAATGGGGAAAGAAACAAAACACACGAATTATATGAAACAAAAGTCTAACCCCTAACCTCCCAATTCTAAATATAGGCCCCATTAAATTCTCTAGAAGGGAGTAGAAATGAAGAAGTCCAAATTCCGTCACGTTCTCCGATTGTAACACGGGTAGTGATTTTCACACTCCTCATCTTGTTCTTATCTCTTCATTATTGTTTCGTTTGTTTATTACATAACTCTTACAAACTATAACACATGCCATGGCTACATCCGGAACACAAGTCAATGTCATGGCTACATCAGAGAGAGATGAAGAAAAAAAGTGAGTTTTGAAGTATTAATTTGAATTTTGAAGTGCGTCAGAGCTTCCAATAATACAAAGAGAATAGCCGCAAACATAACACCATGTCCACTGCCGGAACAGCAATGACTATAAAACATTAAAAACAACGCCATATCATATTTGCAATTCAAATGAGAACTAACTTATAAGGTTGATCACGTCTAGCAGAGAGATTTAAGCATGACCTTCTTGACCAAATCAGTGAGTTTTATAATCATATCTAGTAAAAGAACAATGCATCATATAACAGGTGGATATTGCTTTGCCTGCTGTCGCACTCTTCGCTTGTACTCCGCTGGTTCCTGCAAGTCAGGACAGAAATCGTCAAACACAGTTCATATTTCATGAACAGTCACAGGAGTGAATGAGAGACGGCTAGAGATCAAGACAAACCTGGATAAAGAGTTGATAACCTTCAGTTTGTGCCGGATCAGCAGGATTAGGCTGGCCTAGCAAATCCTGAATGCCTACTAGGATTTGCTTCACTGTGATGGCCGGCCTCCAACCCTAAAAATAGAAATTCATGTTAGGACGACTTCATCAATGAACACAATCTCCATATACATGGTACAGCAGGAGATATTGCTTACTTTGTCCTCATTGAGAATTGAAAGACAAACAGTTCCAGAAGGATACATTTGGGTGGAAAAAGCCCTGTGGGAACTTGCATTTTGGGGGCTTGCTGGGGTAATCCTCAGTGAAGTTAAGTGTAAGTGGAAAGTAGCCACCTTCCCAATCAGTCTGCAATACCAGCAAGATCAATACCGAAAACAATATATTGCAAAAATTTCTTGTAAGGATGTTACGCCAGCAACCAAGCAACCACCATCAGTCTATCATATAAATAAGCATTCCCGTCAGCATTATGAAGCTCTTGAACATTGTTCTAAAAATCCCGCTTAGGAGCTAGGCGATTGGCCACCGCCACAATTATTCCCTAGGCGTTAAAGAAATAAGAAAGGGCACTAGACCTGCCTAGAGGCCCCCTAGCCCGCCTAGACCTTCCCAGTTTCAATACGTTCCTCCCTCCAGCATTCATTGATAGACCCTCTAATTGATTTCAGATATTAACACTGACTAGAATATAAGTGCCGAAAGCTAAATCCTACATGTTATACACTATCCGAATTGCGCATTGTATCCAAGTGCCGATTTACCAAAATTGCAAGCCAACAGGCAAAACTAAACAGAAGTACGAAAAAGCAGTCCACCAAAAAACTTCTGAAAAAAAACCCACATGCAATCCTCTATAGAAATTTATGCAGTCAAACATAATTAGAACAAAATAGAGAAAAACTAGAAAATAACCCCCATAATCTAAAACCCTAATACCCCGATTGAGGGGGCTAACTGATCAAGCAAGTCAAATTCGGAATTAAAATCCCAAAATCCCCAATCTTTAACTATCTTCAATTGCATGTCTTACAAAATTCTCACCAGGAGAAAGAAATAGAAGAAGACTCACAGATGGTTTGCCGGGGATGATGCACTGCCACACCATCAATTAACGGAGCCATCCGGAGCAGTCTCCGGCTTCGCCACAAAACCCTAATTTAATTAATTAACCACAAAAACGACGACGTCAGGCGATGCAATTAACGGCGAATGAAGATTGAATTGAAAATAACATAGGAAAGAACAGAAGAGAAGGACGATGGTCGGTACGGACATGTGGGTGGTTCTTGCGCCACGCTTTTCGCTCCTCGGCGAGACGACCGCGCGCGATTCCTCCAGACATTCTCTCTCTGTAGGTAACTGATACTTCTAACGTATGGCAAACAATCAGATCAGATGGACTCGGTCTTTCGAATGTCGACGGAGTCTATGTTGTTTGTCGGTCAATGATATCAGAAATCGCGAAATTATAGATTTGAGTAAATTCTCTAGAAACTTCCAGGCTGCGCCCAAAGCAATAGGTCCGTACTCTACAAGATTCCTTACGCGGCTTCTAAAGGCGAGCGCGTTTTCCTGTTCTTTTTTTTCGTCTTCGACCCCAAAAGTAAGTTTATTTAAAATCTAGCCCCCCATTCAATAAAACACACAACTAATATTTCTCCTTCAATTTAACAATCACACCACCAGAAATCACAAACTTGTAATTAGAGATAACGCGATACTGTAACAACCTCATCACTAGCTCGTAGCAGGGCCGGTCCAGAGATTTTTGAGGCCCGGGGCGACCCAAAAAAAAGTGCCCTAACTTTATGTAAGAAAATTATTTATTTTCACACATAAGATATCGAAAAAATTATACTTAGAAAAACACTTCAAACTCAATAATTTAGAAACACAGAAAGACTAATTTATTTTGTATTGAGAGAGGGAAACAAAAAAACTTCGGGCTTACAAATAGATAGATGATGAGTTTGTTTTCCATTTGAACTTTGAATGTGTTTTTGAATAAATCGTGAGGTGTTTTTTTCTTATTTACTAACCTTGTCAATATGGGACAAAAAAATAATGATGTTTTCGAGTCTTTAATTGATATGTATTATTAATGAATGAGCACTAAATTAAACATTTTGATGACACGTCATATAATTTGCAAATTTGGTCTACGTATTATTCTTTGTTGAAGATTAGACTTGAATTAAAACGAATATTTAAAAATAACAACCCACATAACTACTAGATAGTAACTAAAAATAAATTACCAACCAAACAAAAATTTGTAAAAATTGAAAAGAATAAACATGCACATAGCATTTCGAACTTAGGACCTCTTGTTAATTTTAAACAACAAAAATCATTGTTTCTAATTAAACTTCTTGATCTTTTAACCAAATTTTCTAAATTTATACTCTTATAAAAAGAAATTTGTAAAAAAAAGGAAAGTAAATAAGCACACATGGTGTTTTGAACCCAAGACCTCCTTATTATTTTCAAATGACAAACCACCACTTCTAGTTAAATTTCTGTGTCTTTGAATCAAATTTTATAAATTTATACTCTTATAAAAACATATATAAATATACCGCTCTAATAATTTTGGTGCCCCTAATTTTTTTGGACCCTGGACGATCGCCCCTCCTGCACTGGGCCTGGGCCGGCCCTGGCTCGTAGATCTATATAATCAACAAGCTAAATTCTAATGACAGTTGAAAACGTCAGCATTGTTATGAATGCCCACACACACACATTTTCAATGCCCATATAGATTGAAATTGACTTTAAGGATGCAGGAGATCATATTTTCCAAAATGGTGCTGTAAATTTTCAATGTATAATTAATGCATCAGTATTAGAGTTGCTCTATAAATAGAGCATTCCGTATGCTTTCAAAAACACAGACAGAAAGAACGAAAGTTCAATAACATCATCTATTCCTCCGTATTTTATTTATTATTCTCTTGTGCTATAGTTTCAGTGTGACATTTTATACCTGTTTCGCTCCATTCACTAAAAAGGTTATCTTTCTAACTTTTACATATTTATAACACGTTACCAGCACGACTCTCTAAATATAACTATTCCTCATTTCTCTTCGCCGAAAGAAATCATTTCTCTTTGCTGAATGAAAAAATGTTTCCTCTAAGGTTTTTACTGTTCATCTTCTTCTTCTGCCTCAACTGCGCGATATACCCTCGCGACGAACTATTTGCTCCATGCCTGCTTTTAGTTCTCAACTTAACAGTTACATATATCTTTGATTTCTTGTTTGGTGTAGATCTTGATTACTAACCCAGTATTTATTTATGTTAATTTTACTGCAATCCAAGATGGTGCGGTACAATCGCCCATCTTGAACTGCAAATGTAATCATACTGCGATCCAAGATGGGGCGGTATCATCGCCTATCTTGGACTGCAAATCTAATTTTACTGCAATTTTAGGTGGTTAGGTATAATCGCCCACTCTACCCTTCATATTTAAATTTG